GACTCCCCTTGTACTTTCCTAGAATGCCAGTCAACAGTTTGAAAACTACGATGCTGTGTTAGACATGCAATGTCCCCAGGTAGAAAGGGTAATGTTGGGGTTTGAGCTCACGTGTGTGAAGTCACGAGGTGGCACAAGCAAAGTCAGTTGAGCCCTGTCTTCCTTGCACACCGCCCAGCAGAGCGCTGGGGTTCCTTGCACACCTCCCAGCGGAACACTGGGGTGCTTCTGAGGAGCATCCCTTGGATGTCTGTTTTCCTCACATGGTGAAATGTGCTGCTTTACATACGCGCACAACCTGTTCTCCCCTTCCTCAAGAATGCATATATTTATTTATCTAAATTGCTAGAGGACATGTGTCTTGTCAGAGACAGAGAAAAGGAGAGAGAGACAGGGAGAAAGCACTTCCCACGGGGCATGGTCATACCATAATCCCTTCTCATTTTTTTCTCTCTAAGGATTTGGGGCACACATGCACATGTGTGTGTTTTACTTATTTTAGCTAGCTTTATTTATTGATTTTATTTGACCAGAGAGGGACAGAGCAAGAGAGCAAGAAAGAGGAAAGTGAGAAAGCAAGCCACCAGGTACAGGACTCAAATCATGGTTGGCCATGTGGGAGTCCAGCACCCCTAACCACCATGCCACCTGCAGGCCCTGTGCCCTGTATGTTTTCTAAGCCACTGGGCCAGGATGCAAATCCAGCTATCCCTAACCAGTAAGCCACAGGCTAGCTCAAGAATTTACTTATTATTTATTTTAATTTGTGCATATGCACTTGCCAAATAGAGAGAGGGAAAGTGAAAAAGCACCTCCCAATGGGGGAGGCCACTCCATAATCTTTTCTCCTCTATTTATTCTCCTTTTGAGATTCTGGGCACACACACACACACACACCCATGGCATGATTTTCACCCCATTGGCTCTAGGACTCCAACCATGCAGTTGGCCATGGGGGAATCCAGCTGCCTTAACCACTACAGCACCTGCTGGCTCATCAAGCATTTATGTTTTCAACAAAATAAAATACCTCTTCATGTTGCTGGCACCAAATCCCAGCACAAGCTGATGGCACAAGATATATGCCTTCTGGGGAACCAGCAGTTAGCGTAATGGCTATGTCACTGGACTCCCACGTAGTCGACCACGGTTCGCGTCCCGGACCCGGTGGCTTAAAACTCACGCCGGGCGCGTGTGCGTGCATGCCCAAGATCCCGAGAGGAGAATGGAGGAGAAGGGATTGCGGCGTGACCATCCCCCCTGGGGGGTGATTTCTCGCTTTCTGTCTCTATGTCTCT